GCCCTACAATAACACATTTTCCTGTTGCAAGGCCAAGATGGGTACTACGTCAAGATTCCTCCAATTACAAAGCTGCAGGACAAAGACACCCTCACAAAACTGTCTCCTCTAAAAAAAACTTCTATTCCTTCGTGATCATGGACAGAGGAGGAAACCACATATTGTAGTGCGCCAACCTCTTTCACCAGTATGTTGTCGATGAGTATCCCAACATGGAGAGTGAGCGCCTTCTTTACATTCAACTGAATCTAAACCGCCTGTGTGTGAACAGTATGCTCATCTCTGGGACGCCATCAATGCCGATGCAAACGGTCACAATGTGGGCTGATTAGTTATTTTTACTTCATCCTTCACAGCTTCACCAAGATACATGCATGAGAAGACTCAGGATGCTATGACGTACATGAGCCAATATGGCACGCCCCATCTCTTCATCACCTTCACTTGCAATCCCAAATTAAAGGAGATCCAGGTTTACCTTTATCCAAACCAAATGCCACCAGACAGACATGACATCTTAGCGAGGGTCTTCAAACTCAAAGTTTATTACCTCATGATGCTTATTAGAACCAAGGAATGTGGCGTCTTTGCATAGACAAGCAGTAACTTGGGTATTTTGTACCATTGAACACTCCACCCCCACAACTCCCAATCGGTGATGGGGCAGTTGTGGAGAGAGTGGGGAGTTTCCCATACCTGGGCAGTGTGCTTATGACCAGCTCCAGTTTAACAGCAGAGGTCTCACTCCGAATCAGTCGAGCGGCAATATATTTTCATCGGTTGCATAACGCTGTGTGGAAGCTACCTGGTCTGTCGCTCTGCACTAAGCTTCAGGTCTTCTCGGCCACGGTCATTCCCTCCATTCTCTACGCTAGCCTGCCTACGATCCATCCTGGGTTTAACCAGGCTGGATTGTGTGAGCTCACAAATCCTTGAAAGATCTGGGCAAGTTTCCATCGGTGAACTCCGGCAGGCAAGGCTGCGTTGGCTGGATCATGTAGCCCGCATGCCCAGCCACCGCATGCCGAAACAGCTCTTGTTCGGCCGGATCGAGAGGGCTAAGCGGGCATGGCACGGGCTAGAGAAGAGATGGAGTGATGTGGTACGGGAGTACGTGGAGCTAAGTGGACTTGCCAATGACTGGTACCAGCGGTGTCAAGATCGGCCTCTGTGGAGGAGGCTCGTGAAGGATGCTACTGGGCAGTTTGAGGCAGTCGCCCTCCAACTACAACGGAGGGCGGAGGAGCGACGCTCACAACAACGAGCAGAGCGCCGGGTGGCTAAAGCACATCAGGTTGGCACAGTAGGGGGCACAGGTGGTGCATCAGCCAGTCATCTCAGTCTTCTCCGTCAGTCGACCCATGGCACCTGGGTCTGCCCCGTGACCTCCTGCCAGCGGGCGTTCGACACTTCACGTGGCCTCAAGGTGCACATGGCCTGGCACAAGCGTCGTGGTGCGTCACCGCTACTTCGTAGCGAATGGCGGTTGTTGTTGCTTTTTTTGCCCGGGCAACGCCGGGTCCTTCCTGCTAGTAATATATTGACTCTATAGTAGTATCTACCGACTATATAGTCGTAACTACTAACTATATAGTAGTAACTCTAGACTCTATGGTAGAATCTGCTTACTCTATAGCGATATCTACTGACCCTACAGTAGCATCTCTGACTCTGCAGTAGCATCTACAGACTCTAAAGTAGCATCTATCGATTCTATAGCAGTTAACTACTAACTTAGAGTGCCGTGGTGAGGCCTAGTCCCGTGTAGAGCCCCCGGCCTCGCCTAGCCCGCCCAGCCGGTCGAGGTGGCGCCTTGGCCAGTTGGGGCTAGGCTGCTACCCCCCCCCACACCATCTCCCAACCTGCACTACAGTAGTAGTATCTACAGACTATAGTAGAAGTATCTGCAGACTCTCTAGCAGTATCTACTAACTCTACTGGCTGTAGTAGTAGCTATACTAACTCTATAGCCATATGTACTGGCTGTAGTTGTAGCTATACTAACTCTATAGCAGTATGGACTGGCTGTAGTAGCTATGCTAACTCTATAGCCATGTGCACTGGCTGTAGTAGTAGCTAAACTAACTCGATAGCAGTGCGTATTGGCCTAGTAGTAGCTGTACTAACTCTATAACAGTGCATAGTGGCCATAGTAGTAGTAGCTATACTAACTCTATTGCAGTACGTACTGGCTGTAGTCGTAGCTACTATTACTAAAGTGGTGTGTACTGGCTGTAGTAGTAGCTACTATCACTACAATAGTATATACTGGCTGTAGAAATAGCTATACTAACTCTATAGCAGTGTGTACTGGCTGTAGTAGTAGCTATACTAACTCTATTGCAGTTTTTACTGGCTGTAGTAGTAGCTATACTATCTCTATAGCAGTGTGTACTGCCCTGTAGTAGTACCTATACTAACTCGATAGCAGTGTGTACTGCACTGTAGTAGTACCTATACTAACTCTATAACAGTGCGACTAGCCATAGTAGCTATACTAACTCTATAGCAGTACGTACTAGCTGTAGTCGTAGCTATATGGACTCTAAAGCAGTGTGTATTGGCTGTAGTAGTAGCTATACTAACGCTATAGCAGTGTGTACTGGTCGTAGTAGTAGCTACTATCACTACAGTAGAAAGTACTGGCCCTAGTAGTAGCTACTATCACTACAATAGTATGTATTGGCTGTAGTAGTAGCTATACTAACTCTGTAGCAGTGTGTACTGGCTGTAGTCGTAGCTATAGTAACTCTAAAGCAGTGTGTACTGGCTGTATTAGTAGCTATACTAACTCTATAGCAGTGTGTACTGACTGTAGTAGTAGCTATACTAACTCTATAACAGTGCGTACTAGCCATAGTAGTAGCTATACTAACTCTATAGCAGTATGTACTACCTGTAGTCGTAGCTATATGGACTCTAAAGCAGTGTGTATTGGCTGTAGTAGTAGCTATACTAACCCTATAGCAGTGTGTACTGGCTGTTCGTAGTAGCTACTATCACTACAGTAGTATGTACTGGCTATAGTAGTAGGTACTATCACTACAGTTGTATGTACTGGCTGTAGTAGTAGCTACTATCACTACAGTAGTATGTACTGGCTGTAGTAGTAGCTATCCTAACTCTATAGCAGTGTGTACTGGCAATAGTTGTAGCTATACTAACTCTACAGAAATATATACTGGCTGTAGTAGTAGCCACTATCACTACAGTAGAATGTACTGGATGTAGTAGTAGCTATACTAACTCTATAGCAGTACGTACTGGCTGTCGTAGTAGCTATACTAACTCTATAGCAGTACGTCCTGGCTGTATTAGTAGCTAAACTAACTCTATAGCAGTAAGTAGTGGCTGTAGTAGTAGCCACTATCACTACAGTAGAATGTACTGGATGTAGTAGTAGCTATACTAACTCTATAGCAGTACGTACTGGCTGTCGTAGTAGCTATACTAACTCTATAGCAGTACGTCCTGGCTGTATTAGTAGCTAAACTAACTCTATAGCAGTAAGTAGTGGCTGTAGTAGTAGCTATACTAACTCTATAGCAGTATGTACTGGCTGTTGTAGTAGCTATACTAACGTTATAGCATAATGTACTGGCTGTAGTGGTAGCTATACTAATTCTATAGCAGTATGTACTGGCTGTAGTAATCAAGACAAGAGTGAAAAAGTTACTTGTGGAAACATCTGCTAAGATGTGTGAGGTCTACAAGGCATATTTCGGAATCCCTGTCGGGGATGAAGACAAACCCAGTGCTCCTTGGTTCTTTTCGGTAAAGTCACGTAGGTAAAAAAAATAAAACAACAAAAATCACGACGTTTCGGCCACAACACAAGCGGCCTTCATCAGGTGAAGGGACCAGACTGTCTCGAGGACAGCGCTGGAGTGAACACAGCTAAGCTCAGACCGCGACTTTTAAGCTGTGTGAGAGGAATCAAGGTGCCTTGACAAAGGAATTAGCATAAACAATAGCATTTAATTGGCAGACTTGAACAGTGTAGAGGGGGTGAACATGTGCAGGTCGGCGAGGGGGGGAGGTGTGAAAAGGGAAGAAAAGGGAAGCTGCAAAAGTTTGGGGTACCACTACTTGAAAAAATATACTGTACCATTGAAAATTAGTTTAATGTTTGCTTAGATTTAGAACATCTTTCCAATGGTTGCTTAATTTGAAACCATCTTCTCGGTTGAAATTGTGTCTGTGTTTGTAAATCTGAATTGCCTCGTGAACAAATCTCTTTTAAAAACCCGTGGGTTTGCAAAGAACCTTAGTATTGGAGAAAATTATATCGTGATCACCCACAGCGTTGTAACAGTGATCAGCTACGGCAGAAGAATTCGTTCTGCCGTGTTTCAAATCTGATTTGTGCTTGTGAATTCGGTCAGAGACATGTCGCTTCGTCTCCCCGATATAGCAATCACTGCAGGTACAACTCAATTTGTAAACCCCGGGGTACTGTAAGTCTGGAATGACATCCTTCACGGATGGGATCAGATCACGAATTTTGTGTACTGTATTGAACCGGACCTGGATCTTGTGTTTGTTTGAATTTTGGAAATCTTTTTAGTAACGCCTGCTATATATGGTAGTGTGATGGTTTTGACCGGAGTATCAAGTGGTTGTTTCTGTATGGAGGGAGAGACAGCTTGGCGGATGGTACGGTCAGAGTATCCATTCCTTTTGGTCTGGTGTTGTTGGTCCGAAATGCAATGAGCCCTATGGTATAAAGTTTTGATGAGATAATTATTTTGAGCTGGGTGGTGGTGGGAATCAGGTTTCAAGTAGGAATCTGTGTGGGTGGGTTTCCTGTCAACAGAATGCCCCAATGAGCCATCAGGTCTCCTCTCAAACAGAACATCCAAGAATGGTAGCTTGTCATCTTTCTCCACTTCCATGGTGAATTTGATGGCGGGATGTCTGGAATTGATGTGGTGTAGGAAAATGTTCAGAACTGGGAGGCCATGTGGCCAAATGACGAAAGTGTCATCCACATATCTCTTCCACAGGGAAAGTCTGAGGGTGGAAGTCTGGATGGCATCCGATTCAAATTTCTCCATGAAAACATGGGAAAACAAACCCAGTGCGCCTCATTTCACCTGCGAGCAAAGCAAAAAAACTCTGGAAGGTAAGATGGACAATTATTGCTCTGAATTTTGTTATAAAATTTGTTCGAAATCTTTTTAATTGTACAAGTTTTTAATTTTAAAATGTTTTACAATTTTAAATGTTATTGAAAAAATATTTCATTCATGAAAAATGTTGCGAGAATCTCTTACACGTTAGTCATGGGTGAAATAAATTTATTTTTGTAGGATGGTACAGAGGGGAAAAGAGTTCCATGAAGTTTGCTATCCCAAGAATTTCGTGGGAACTCACTGACCCCTCAACCAATTGCTACTTCTGCATGGTGGACCCTTCCAACCATTATACTGGCAAGAATGCACCTTCTATCACGTAATTGGACCTTCCTTCATTCATCGCCACGAGCTCCCCGTACCCACTCCTCCGGAGAGAGAGCAGCCGTTTTTTGAAGAAAGCAGCAAGTCAGAGAGCAAGGAAGATGTAGATCCAAATGACAATTTCAGAGGAGGAGCTGAGGAGAAAACCTCATACTACTCCAACCAAAAAGACATCAACGACTTGATCAGAGATCCTGGTCTCACCAACCCCAATGCCGAGATTTTGACGTCTACGCTCAAGCAGTGGAACTTGTTGGATGAAAGTGTGCAAGTCACAGATCAGAGGAAGCGTCACCAACCTTTTTACAGCTTCTTCACCCATCAAGATGGGCTCTGCTTCTGCCACAATGTGACCAAGTCTGTTCGAGGCAATCGGAATCGCCTGTAACCAGAATGAGTGGCGCCTCTTCATTGACAGCTCATGCAGGAGCCTCAAAGCCATGCTGCTCCATAATGGTAACAAGTACCCGTCTCTTCCCCTGGCTCACTCGGTGCACCTCAAAGAGAATTACAACAGCATCAAGACCTTGCTGGACGCCTTGAAATATGATGAGTATGGCTGTGAGGTCATCGGAGACTTCAAAATGGTGGCATTCCTGATGGGTCTCTAAGGCGGTTTTAGCAAGTTTTCCTGCTATCTTTGCTTTTGGGACAGCAGGGACAACAAGGCGCACTACCGCAGGCGGGACTGGCCACAGCGGACCGAGTTTTCTGTGGGGAGGAACAATGTCAAGTGAGAGCAACTGGTGGACCCCCGAAAGGTGCTGATGCCACCACTGCACATAAAATTGGACCTCATGAAAATTTGTAAGAGCTGTAGATAAGGAGTCGGCAGCCTTCAAGTACCATCAAGACTGTCTGAGGCAAAGGTCAAAGCCGGTGTCTTTGTCGGACCATAGATAAAGAAGATCCTGGAGTGCAATGAATTCCCCAAGAAGCTCACTAGTAAGGAGAAAGCGGCTTGAAACAGCTTTGTCGCAGTGGTTCATGGCTTCCTGGCCAATCACATGGTCGAAAACTACGTGGAGCTGGTTGAGACTGGTGGAGAACTGCAGCACAATGGGCTATAGGATGTCTTCAAAGTCCATATCCTTGATGCTCATCTTGATAAACTGAAGGAGAACATGGGAGCGTACTTGGAGGAGCAAGGCGAGCACTTCTACCAGGATATACTGGACTTTGAACGCTGCTACCAAGGACAGTATAATGAGAATATGATGGGAGACTACATTTGTGGGCTGATCCGTGAAATTGATTTACAGTATAATCGTAAATCTCGAAAAACTACTCATTTCTAAATATTTTGTAGTCATTTTTGTATTACTTTAGTATAAATACACGTTCATTTTGAGTCACATGTTTTTTCTCACTTTATGTGAACGAAAATACAAAATTCGTCTGTTTTCTCATTGAAAATAGGCAAATTTCAAAATATCACTGTTCTGGTCACAAAAGCAAAACTTGTGGGGAATAATAGCCATTTTCTATACTTTTTAGGCATAAGCAATTAGGAAATAAAACTTACTCCCCAGGAACAAAAATTGTGTTACATATTGAAATTATTGAAGTAATATTTGCTTGTGTTTTGTTTGCATACATTCGCCCATTTTGTCCCAAATTTATCATAAAGCGTAAGAATAAATCTCCCCATGAGGTGAATTACAACTTTATGCTGATATTTAAGGTTTTTACAGTAAATTAATAAAGTTGTTGCGTGAATAAACATTGCAATTTATTACTGCTTTGGCACACCTGTTGCAGGACAATTCTGGCAATTCTGACAACTGCCTGATGATGCTGGTTGCATCTACCAGCGAAACGGTCATACCCAATTGTTAAATGTTGTGGAATTTTATCCGGCACACTGGTGTGCTACATCAGTAATACACTGGCGCACTGGTTCACGTGACAACTTTATTTATCGGCTATGTCGGGTAGAGGAGGGTGTACCACACACATGTTACTTACACAATCTGACCCAATCATCAATTGTGAATCTTAATAATTGTCACGAATGCCTGCGTGTTAAAAGCACTGAGAGTTGCAATGGGTACGTGTTAATGTCATTATTAATTGAGAAAAGTTATGCAAACTTGGGGAAGAAAAGAAGGCGGCCGAGAAGTGTTTTGACCTGCAGTGTGGTGGTTGAATGTAGTGTGGATGAGATAAACAATCAGTAACCATGGTAGTAGCGATAGAAAAGTGATACATAGACAGTTAATTGCTAGTGAGCATGTGACTGATACAAATCAGTGAGTGCTGGATGATCAGTTTTATTGTTTAATTCTATCAAGTACAGTGAGGTGGGAACTAAGTGCCCTACCCCAGAGGAAACATTTATTCATATTTTATTTTTAATTAGAAATTGCCTTTGGTTACATCTACAATTTCGTTGAACACAACTTTTCTGTAATTTGTAATCCTATAGCTATAGTTTGTTTTAAGCATGTATTTTTGTTGGATGCATGTGTAATGACATGGTGACACCTGCTGGCTGGGAAAGGGAAGCACAGGTACGGGCACGGTTAAGGGAACATGCAATTGGAGAGGGAGAGGTATCTGGGGCAAAGGTAACAGGTGGGGTTATCCGAGATACTCCGGGAACCTGCTCGAAGGTTCCACGAGAGGGCGTGGCCGGAGGCGGGGCCTAGCCATGCCTGGGGGGATATAAGGGGGAGCGCACCCGGGGCTCGGGGTTCGTGTGTAAATTCTGTGTCCTGGCTGCATCGCTGCTTCGCGACATCTTTCTCCGTCATCCGACCACATGGAAGATCTCCTGCGGGGTTTCCATCGCCATCATCATCACACCGCGAGCCAGCGGCGTAGCCGAGTGAGGGCAGTGAGACCACATTGAGTGATTGGCTGTGTGTATCCAGTAGAGATGTTAATATTACAAGTATTGTACTCTTAGTGAGAAGGATAATGTTGGCCTGTGTTGTGCCCAAGACATAACTTGTGTTTGACAGCGAAGAAAGCAGTATGTCTAAACATCAGAAAAAATGGAACCCACCTGTGGTATCTTTCTACGACGATGAAAATGTGATCCAAAACCTCCTACCAGCCCCAGGAACCGTGGTACCAGTTATTGAAGCCATGGCGGGGGAATTGGCTGCGCCAGAGAAGGTGGATCCGGGAGCAGCAACTCCGCACTGGCAGCCCGAAGACGGCTGGCGGAAGGTGTCAGAGCAGCTGGACCTGTTGTGGGCAGTTGTCGTGCAATTGGTGATGCTCGTCACGAAGACTATGGTGGCTAGGCGCTCTGCACTGACATTGCCGGGAAGGAACGACCAGGAGTCCGGAGTTGACGTCCTGGCGGGAATGTCTGCAAGTGCGATGGCCGCCATTACACATGGCAAGGAGAACGCGCAGCCGGACGCCGCCATTTTGGGAAGCACGGGGGAGGCGCAGACGGAGTCCGCCATTTTATGAAACAAGCATGATACGCAAGATCCGGCACCCGCCACTAGGAACGAGGAGAGAAGAACCGAACGTACTTGCAGATTACCTCAGATTAAATAATTCGTTGTGACAGGAGGCGATTGGAGCACCTTCACTTGGCGATTTGAAGCAGCTTTCCGATCAGTCATCGACCTTTGTGTCTCGAGAGACAATTCTTTTGCGCTTTATGAGGCCAACTGTAGGTTTTGCAGCGCCTATAATGACTTATAAGGCCAATACTTGAGTGAAAATGTTTGCCACAGCAATTGCAAGTGAATGCGGTGGCAGCTCCAAAGGTGTTTGTTGCTTTTTCTTTACGTCACTCCCTCTTGGTCTGCCAAGCAGTGTGTCTTTTCTCTTCACCTCTCCTGAGGCCTGTTTTCACAGTCTGCTGCTATCTGAGTCGGTCACCAGCAGTTTTCTCCCAGTCATTTGGGTTGATGTCGCAGCTCTTCATGTCCCGTTTACAGACATCTTTGAAGTGCAGGAGCGGGCGACCAGTGACCCGTGTGCCTGATGCCAGCTCGCCGTACAAGACATCCTTGGGTAATCTACCATCCTGCATGCGGCGCACTTGTCCAAGCCATCTAAGGCGCCTATGACTGAGTAGAGAGTACATGCTGGGAATGTTGGCCAAGTTGAGGACTGAGGTGTTGGGAATGCGATCTTGCCATCTGATACCGAGGATGAGCCTGAGACATCGGAGGTGGAATGTATTTAGTCGATGTTCTTGATTGGCGTATGTTGTCCAGGACTCAAAGAGGAGGGTGCTAAGGACACAGGCCCGATACACCTGTACTTTGGTGTTGAGCATTAGAGAATTGTTGTCCCACACTCTTTTGGTCAACCTGAACATAGCTGCAGACGCCTTCCCAATGCGCTTGTCAATCTCTGTGACAAGGACAAATTGCAGGTGATGGTGGAACCCAAGTAGGTGAAGTCCTGAACGACTTCCAGGGTGTAGCTGCCAATGTTTATGGAAGGAGTGTCTCTGATATCCTGGCCTATGACATTGGTCTTTTTCAGACTGATTGTCAGGCCAAAGTTGTTGCAGGCATTGGCAAGGTGGTCGATGAGTTTCTGCAAACCTTGTTCTGTGTGAGCTGTCAGTGCGGCATCATCAGCAAATAGGAGTTCTCTGATGACGACTCTGCGGACTTTGGTTTTGGATCTGAGGCGGCCAAGATTGAACAGTTTGCCATCAGATCTTGTATGGAGAAAGTCTCCCTCTTCTGCTGTCCCAAAGGCATGTGTGAGCAGAAGTGAGAAAATATGTCAAACAGTGTTGGGGCAAGCACACACCCCTGCTTTACACCGCTGAGTATGGGAAATTCTTCTCAGGTGGTGCCGCTGTGCTGTATTGTTCCTTTCATGTTATGGAAAGAGGAGATGATTGCCAGCAGCTTCGGTGGGCAGCCGATCACTTTGAGGAGTTTGAAGAGGCCTCCCCTACTGATGAGGTCAAAGGCTTTTGTAAGATCAATGAATGCCAAGTACAGGGGCATTCTCTGTTCTCGACATTTCTCCTGTAGGTGACGCAAGGAAAAGAGCATGTCAATTGTGGACCTTCCTGCTCTGAAGCCACACTGAGCCTCAGGATACGTCCTCTCAGCGAGTATCTGTAACCTGCTGAGGACCACACGGGCAAAGGTTTTCCCTACGATGCTCAGCAGGGAGATGCCACGGTAGTTATTGCAGTCCCCACAGTACCCTTGTTTTCATATAGGGTGATGATGTTGGAGTCTTTCATGTCTTGAGGCATTGCTTCTTCTTCCCAGCACTGGCAGATAAGTTCATGAAGTTTTGTGAGAATGGCAGGTTTCGCACATTTCAGTACCTCGGGTGTGATGCCGTCCTGTCCCGGGGACTTGCCATTGGCTTGTGAGTTGATGGCATTGTCAAGTTCCTTCAAGGTTGGTAGGGGCTTTACAGCAGCAAGGGCAGCTTCTGACACACCGTTGTCTCGTGAGTTGAGCTCTGAGTAGTGTTCTACCCACTTGGCCATTTGCTCTTGTTTATCAGTGATGATGGCCCCTGTGCTGGATTTAAGGGGGGCAGTCCTCCTGATGTTTGGACCAAAGGCTGTCTTGATGCCTTCATACATGGCACGGATATTGCCAGTGTCAGAGGCAAGTTGGATCCTACTGCTGAGGTTCACCGAGTAGTTGTTGGCGCAGCGTCTGGCGGTCGTTTGAGCTGCACTGTGGGCAGCTTGGAGGATGGGTTCCAATATAGCCAGGTGTTCCTCTTGGTAGAGTTGATGCGTAGGTAGTGCTTTTGTTTGAGGTGGTGTATCTTTTTTGGGCGTAGTCTGACCTTGCTGGATACCAGCAAGTGATGGGTGTCACAGACTGCACTGTGGTAGCTGCGTGTGAGTACTGAGTTGAGGAGAGCTCGTCGGATGATGACGAGGTCCAGTTGGTGCCAATTAAGAGACCTTGGATATCTCCATGATACTTTATGGCATGGTTTTGTGAGAAAGAATGAGTTTGTGATACAGAGATTATGGTATGAACAAAGCTCCAGTAGTCTTTAGCCAATGGCATTCATCTTTCCAATGCCGTGATAGCCAAGGCATGCGGGCCACGCGTCATGGTCAGCCCCAACCCTTGCATTGAAGTCTCCCAACAGAAACATGTGCTCATAGCTGGGGATTTTGCGAATAATATTGTGAAGCTCTTCATAGAACTGATCATGAATCTCCGTAGATGAGTAGAGTGTAGGGGCGTAGGTTTACATGGCCAGAAGCAGTGAGCAGTCTCATGAGCAGAATCCGCTCGGAGCCTGCAGTCGGTGGTTCTATCATGCCAAGGAGTGTGTTTTTGATGGCGAACCCAACACAGTGTTGCCTTGGTTCATTCTGCTGTTTTCCTTGCCAGTAGAAAGTGTAGTCACTCTCTTGTAGTGAGCCACTGCCAGCAAGTCGGGTCTCCTGCAGTGCTGCAATATCCACATGGAGTCTCGCCAGCTCCTTGTCGATAACTGCAGTCTTGCGGATGTCTCCAATCTGCAATAGATCTTCAGAGAGTCCAGAACACATTGCACGTACATTCCAGCTTGCAAAATGAAGGGCTGGAACCTTATTTCGTTTTGTTTTGCTTTTGTCTGGTGCAGGTGTTGCAGCCCACTTGTCTGGTGATGAACCATAAGCTCAAAGCACCCATTGGAGCAGGTGAGCTGTGGCGGGAAAGCACCTTATTGGCAGGGGGCTGCCCAGCTTGAGGCGGGCGGTAGCTATCCATTGGGGTGCAATGACCCCTCCCACCGACGATGGCAACCCGTGGCACCCATTTTTTACGCCAATCTAAAATGAGCTTATAACCCGTGACTGCTGCCATCCGTGTTTCTTGGCCACGATTAGGTGGCCGAGGAGTGTCCTCTCCCTATTTTTGCACCTCTTGTTGGCGCAAAGCCTGGGCAGGTTATTTTGGAAATCCTGGGTTGCCCATGCGTCAGGATCCCCCCTTCGGCCTTGCTGGTGATGTCCAAAAGAGTGCGTAGCACGACGTTTGGTACCAGTTTGGCTGCAGGGGCTGCCGGGAATGTGCCGCAGTGCATTACAAAACCGCCTGAGGGGCCCTACTCCTGATTTTCTGTAGGAGTTTACTCCCTTAGCCATTGACTCTCCCGAGACACAAACAAGGCAGTGAGAAAACCACGTAACCCTGGGATGGGCCCTTACCAGGTACTGACAGCCGGGCCAGCTGTGCCTGGGAATCGTGTAAGGCAGGGTTGTCACGCCCTGAGGTAGTTTATCACAAACTACATTGGACGGAAGATGAGGCACTAATTGCTCTGCCGACTGTTTTGGACGACAACGCTCTTGCTGTCTTCAGGGCTATTCCCGCAGCTAAGAAGGCTACAGTTAAAAGTGCTTGTGCTGAGATAGCGGACGTGTATGAGCCGCCTTCCTACACACGCAGGAAGTTTCTTCAGAGGAGGCAAGGGGAGGCCGAGACGCCTACTGCAGCGTGCTGTTTGGCGCTGGCGGGAGCAGCTTACCGCATAGTGGATACTGAAGCCCTCGACTCGCTCGTCATGGAAAGGATGTTGGGACTGGCATGAGAAATTGGTGTGTTTTTACCTGTGTGTGACAAAGACGTACAGACGTCCCTGTGGGCCACCAGGTGTCTTCAGGCCCACGAGAATCTGCAGCGATGGGCTCAAATAGCGGTGTGGACAGGGGATCACAGCCAAGATGGGGAACCGAAGGGGTGGTTGCCATGGAAAGTCGTGGTGCCTCCGCCTGATGATGCGACTTCGGAGGTGGATGTCGCTGCTGCGTTCCTGGTGTGGAATCGGAGTAGAGGGGATGCTGCACGGCGTAAGTGGAGCTGGAGACCGCGTTAGCAAGAATATTGGATGGCGCGGAGGCCCTCACTTACCGGCTTTCGCTCCGGCCAGCCGGGGCACTTCGCACGAGGATGTCAGAACCGTCCTTGGGCAGCGACCACAACTTCAGCACCCACTGCTCCACAGACGGCTACATCTCAACCCCAACAGGCGAATCGAGACACATCAGACACCCGGCCCATTTTTCAATCTCAGACATCTAAGGATTCAGGGGTCATTTCCACTCAGCATGACGCACACATTGACACCGGACAGTGAAATCCTGTTGCGCATGGGCGGCCTAGCTAGGGGATGGAGTGGAGGAAATTGGCGCGTTGGGTGGTCGCGGCAGCTGCAGGTTCCTCGGCGGTATCTGGTTCTATTCAGGGTGCTAAGGTTCATGTCTTGGTGGACACCGGAGCCTCAGCCACCATTATTTCCGATGTCGTAAATGCTTGTGTCGCGGTGAACGGTGGGAGCATGGGCATCGTTGGACAAGTGGAGGCCCGTACCAAATTGGCGAGGTCGCTTTGGTCAAGCCCATACGAATCTCAAGAACGCTGGCAGTGCCCTGCCTTTTGGGTACCGATAAAAAAAAATGCCTGTTAAGATCCTGGTCGATCAGGGTTGTGTGGAAATGCTATTGGGTCGCAAGTTGTTTTTTTTGGCGTCTTCCCATGTGAATACGGCTACGTGTGTCAAGGTCCAAGCCCTTGTTACGGACTCGGTGGAGATCCCGCCAGGCTCACAGATGCTTGTACCGTTATGCTATCGCAAACAGTTGGGAAAGGTTGATCCGAAGGTGGGTGTCCTGACTCCGTCGAATACGGCGACCCATGGATTGCCGCTAGTAGACGCCTAGACGGTCCTTTGCCCCAACCAAGCGCCATTCTTACAAGTGCTTAATGTGTGTCCGGGTATGGTTGTGGTCCAGGCAGGTACAGTATTGGCTCACACTACTACCACATTTTGTGAGAATAATGCCAATTCCGAAGCTGGCGTTACCTTGGTTTAGTAAGTTGCTAGGCTTTGAGATATCTACAAATTCGAATGTTCACAAACGTATACAAAAAGCTATGGTAATATCATTAAAAGCTCATTTCAACCCTTGGCATGTCCATCAAGACACATGATACTGTAAATAGAACATATCCAGAGCAATATAAATATAAAAAAACTATAGTATCTAATGAAGCAGCCAAAATCATACCAGAGCATTGTTTGTCTTGAGAGACTATATTTCTCAGTGAGTAAAAATATAATAACCTATTCACTAGGGAAAGAGCTGTTGTTATTGCTCGTGGACATCCAGTGCATAAGAGAACATAGTGTGTAATTACTGCCATTTTAAGTGCTATGTTTGAGAAGGACTTGGGGGGTTTGATTGACGACCATGCAAACGAGGGTTGATTGCCTTCTTGAAGATGGAAAATTATGAAAACATGGATAATTTGCAGAGTTTATCCCGCTGGAAGAGAATAAACGAGATTTCAGCAGGAATATGTAAAGATATTGTCACATCATTGAGACAGCGATGGAAGTGACAAGCAAGAAATGCTAACTACCTCATAGGATGTCGTGGGTTCGAATCTGACCCTGACGGCAGTATATTTGTAGTTTACAATTTCTCCTCGTGGGTGCGTAGATATTTATCCGGGTCCCCTGATTTTTCCCTCCACATTTAGATGCATGTGTTAAGAGTATTTGGCTGCTATAAACTTCCACATTGTAAGCCACTTTGGTGAGCCATATTTTGTAGCCAGGTTGCTTCTGAAAAAGATATATATTGCTCAATGGGCCTTACCTGGTAAAATAAATAAAAAAATAGTTAATTTTAATAGTTTAAAATAGAAATGCATCCGTGTGCACGTCCATCTAACAAATGAAGCAATCGAATCAGCATGTATGTAGGTGCTAAGGCTAAAGCAGATTGTTAAATCGCAGGATCGTTAGACATGGTGACAGCTTGGGAAGGTTATCATTGAGCAGTGGATTTATCATGGCTGATGATGCATTTGAAAAGGATTAAGGTTGAGAAGCAGAGCCGAGTGACAGAACACAACATAAAAATAAAGACTGTGTACCATCTACCCAATGCATTTTACCTATGCCACTTCTTTGTTGACATTCATCACGATAAACTATGTCAAAGTATATGTTTTTTACGTTTAAGTTGTATAACTTAACAGTTGGATCAATATCATGCATTCATGGTGCTCATTTTGCATTCCTGCTATATTCCAGTGTATTACATATCCGATAACATTATGACATAGGTATATTTAATATAAGAAAGTGAATTACAAGTGAAATACTTTTAAACAAATCAGGATAAGAAACGGAGTTATTGGTTGAAAATGTGGCATGGTGACAACATAAAGGAATACAATCTTGCAAAACAAATGCATGCAAAAGTATTTTTGAAAACAAATATAGAGTTTACTCTTGATTTGAAGCTTTCGTGACTGCTGTGGTTGTCCCACCTGATGAAGATTGCTTATGTTGCGATCGAAACGTCGTGATTTGTTTTATTTTATTTTATTTATATCTACGTGACTTTACCGAAAGAACCAAAGAGTAATATAGAGTTTATTATGCAATTACAAAGTGTGAGAAATACCACAATTATGCTCAGGGATCTTCACTTCAAATATGTAATGGAATAAACCTCGGCAAAATGGTAAATTAACCCTCAACAGTGTGATAATATGCCACCATTCCACATTCTTCAGTTTATGAATGTTTTGCAGCAATGCCATTTGAGCACATAATTATTTCAGTACCATATTTTTAGGTTGATCACATATCGTATTGTTCTGTACTTTTAAGCTCTTGAACATCCCATATTACTCATTTTAAAGTTTCATCACCAGCTGTTTGTATTGTATCGACCCTAAAAATAATTACTTTTCTTTTAATGAGGAATCCATTTAATTGCCATCTTGCATATGCAGACTCAGGGAATACAGATAGATGTTGTCACCACCAAAGAGTACATGTATCTACCAAATAAAAACGGGTAAAAGTGAAACTTTGAAAATAATTAAAGTAGTTTGTCATTGTTGAACAGGTATTCTTGCAAAATTGATTTTTATTAAGATACTGTTACATACAAAGGAGGACATTAAATCATACAGCATTGCACATAATCTGTATGCAAGTAATGTTTGTTTTTTGCTATTGGTCAAAGCTGCCCCTGGTGCATTTCCCAACGCCTAGCGCTAAAAACGCGTGTTTAAAGTATCCACAAAATATCACCAACATATTTTTTTGCAGGTGGATACACAGTGGAGTGCTAAAACCCAAAAACGGCTCTCGTGTAGAAAATGTCTGCCATGAAAACGCTGGAGTCCAGTCACGCAGTTTGTGAGGGCACGTGCATAACCTTGTTTTTTTTTTAAATCACGCCCAACGAATGCCTCCTAGTGCCACACTGTACGTGGCAAAAACTCTAAATCACTTATAGTAAGGCCAAAGAACAGCACATCCGCTGCCAGCTGTAGGTTAATACATTACTTTATTGACTGTTGGATTATCTTTCATTATATTGTGGCACCTTTTAAGCCAAACCTGCTGTGGGGCCCGACGTCCACCCCCCCGCCCTCGCTAGGCAGGTGGGGCGCGACGTCCGCCCGTTCCGCTCCCTCCTCCACCGCGTCGGTTGGTTCCAGCCGGACCCCCGCCGACCGAGTGATGGGCCCCCCCCCTCCGTGCTAGCGCACTCTCTGAGGGACATACTCATGCCGCTGGCTCGTAGCCGCACGCAGTTAAACCACACACCTGTGCACCCCGCAGCTATTGCTAACACAGGGGCATGCACGCGCTCACACCTTCATGCGCACGCTGCGGTCCCATGTTCACTCTTAACGCACGTTCCCCCACGCAGTCGCTCCACACAGAAATCACAGACACCACAACTATGGTCTGTGCTCACTTTTATTCTCAGCGCAAACCCCGCACTACCCGGGGGGGAATATTTAGCGAGAAGAACCTAGCCTACTGCTGCCTCAGTCCCCAGATACTCAAACGCCCTACCACGTACCTCGTAGCTGTACTCACGGCGTCGCACGGATGCTGTGAGAGTCGGATGGAAGAGGACGAAAAAACTTTGCCTATCACTGCCTCGTGGCGGCACTCGCTGGCGCCACACGGATGCTGCGAGTGGCTCGAGAAGGCAGGACGGCAGGGGGGGGTGGGTCTTGGCAGCCCAGATGTTGAAGAAAAGATCTCCCTTGAACAGCCCCAGGCTCCCCTTTTATCCCCCTGACTTCAAAAGCCCGGGGTCGTGTTGTGCCACGCGGCCAATCGTACGCCTACCTGTGATTACCACAGTTTTTTTTTGTCTTTACATGGAGCATTGCTGCTGCTGCTTCTGCGACTCATTGTCTGGCCGTCCGTATTCATAAATTATTACTCACCCTTGTTAATCCGGAATGATGCCCGACTAGCGAATACACACCTTGTGAGTGTGTATTTGGTATGGGGGTCAGGGTAGGTCGTGGCACTGCGATCCCATGATCTTATGATCTGCCCTTCTCACTTTCCTCCTAAGGACTTTTCGGATTAAATGCCGTTGTGCCAGACAATCCCCTGCCAGGACAATACGTGTGAGCGCTGCGTGTGTGTGCTCAGTGTGGGGGCCAGTTGGGGTCGCTGGGCTTGCAGAGTTGCTTCAAGGCCGTGGCACCACATAGCCCCCCAAGGTGCCCGTCCCCGTCCCGGGCTGACTGGAGCACGTCGCCTGGGTCGCTCCAACCAGGTAGCGCCGCGGAGTCCACGGGACCTGCCCGGCTCTCATCGCTGGTTTCGTGGGTGGTGGCTCAGCTTTTCGAGGCCCCAGTGGTGGTCTCCGTTTCCATTCCAGAGGCTCCTCCTGCCCTCCGGCGTCAGCTGGCTGGGGAACAAAATCAGGGGCAGAGGGGTTTAGGTGCCGCTGCACTCATCGCCTCCTTGCTGGGCTGGGGTCTGCTGGGAACTCGGGCCCAGCAGGTCCCATGTATGGCGTGAGGCCATCGGGTATGGGGGGAATGGGTTGTGTGGGGGTTTCGGGGTTTCAGGGCACCCGAGAGGCGGGTGCCTGCCCAGCTGGGTCTGCTTTCATGCATTTCAATCGGCGGACGTTAACCACCCCTCTCCCCGCCTTAGATCAGCACCGTCCAGGGTCCTCGCCAGTAGGTGGACAGCTTCCCCACCTGTCAAGCCCCTAAGGCAGGGTATGCAGCCATACCTTAGAGCCTGCCGATTAGAAGGGGCGCCCTGCGGCCTCCCCCTGGTGGTCGGCCTGACCACGGGCTACTTGCAGGGTCCCCATCAGGTGCTCCACGGGCTGGCTTTCCTCCTACGGTTGTGGCAGGAGAATGCCGAACAACAGATCTGCCAGTAGGCGAGACTCATGACCAAACATCATGAGGAACGGGATCTGTCCAGTAGACCTGTGTACTGTGGTGGTGTAGGCAAACAGGGCATAGGGGAGGTGTTCGTCCCAATCCTGCTGATTGGCAGACGCCATATGTTTGAACTTTCCGGCCAAGGTCTGGTTCACGCGTTCCACCATACTATTTGCTTGGGGGTGGTACGCCGTGGTTCGGTCCTTCTGGATCCTGAACACCTGGAAAATAGCTCTGCCTTGAACTCACTACCCTGGTCGGTAATGACTCCTTCGGGGGTTTTCCATGTTTGAGCACGTAATGCTCAACAAACGCCCGGGTGACCACAAGGGCCATCTTATCGGGGATGCCCACTGCCACTGGATAGCGCGTAAAATACTCCATAGCCACGAATATGTACCGGTTGCCACGGTGGGACCGTGGGAATGGCCCCTGTATGTCGACCCCAACCAACTGGTTCGCCCGGCTGATGTGATACGGCCTCAGGGGCAGCTGATACTGCTCCAGTTTCTGCCCACACTGTTGACAAGCGTGGCAGCCCTGTACCCAGGCCCCCACATTTCGGATCAGTTTGGGCCAGAGATACTGGTGACGCAGGGTCTCCCGAGTTCGCTGTTCCCCATCATGGCCCCCGAGCAGGTGTTCATGCACCAGCTGCAGCAGCTGGGGCCACACCCGGGCAGGAACACAGATGCACCCTGGCTGCCTTGCCTCAGATAGTTCCCACACCACTCCATCCTTCACACACAACCGGGAGTACAACCCACTCCAGGCTCCGTGTACGGTGACCTTTTCCTCCTGTAGGGCCGCCTCCACCACCGCCAGGTCCGGGTCCCGCCACTGTGCCTGTCGCAGCTGTTCATTGTCCAGGCCAGGGAACACACAGCCGACATCTTCTTGGATCCCGCCGGGTTGGTCAGAGCATCCCATCGGGCCCATGGGTGCAGGATCCGTGCCTGCCCGGCAGCCCCACTGGCCCCCGGGTCCTTCAGCAGGGACCTCTGTGACACATACGGTGATCTCTCTGAACAGAGGGGGGTTAGTCTCAGGGCCCCCCAGGGGGGCCGCCACCTGTTGGTAGCGCCCCCCCCCCCCCCCCCGTAAAACATGGGCAGGCCTCCTCAGCCTGTGTCTCGGGGCACACCGCGGGTTGCCTGGACAAAGCGTATGCGTTTGCGTGCGTCCATCCAGCCCTGTAATCGATCTGTAGCTTATTTTCCTGCAGCTGCGTCAGCCAACGGGCCATCTGCCCCCGTGGTTCCTTGAAAGTGAGGAGGAACTGCAGAGCATAGTAGTCAGTGCGCACGCAACATCTCTGGCCATACAGATACGGCTGGAACTGCTTGCAAGCAAAAATCACGGCATACAGTTCCTGACGGGTCACGCAATAGTTCATTTCGGCCCTGCTCAAGGTCCGGCTGGCGTATGTGATGACCCGCTCTGCCCCATCCTGCACCTGTGACAACACGGTGCCCAACCCACTGCTGCAGGCGTCAGTGTCCAAGATAAAATCTGCAAAAAAGTCAGGGAAAGCCAGGGTGGGGGTATGGGTGAGGTGGTCCTTGAGGGTGGTGACGGTCGTCTGCCAGGCCTCTGTCCAATGCTAAGGGTTCTTAGGGGAAGTGAGTTGGATTAGGGGACGTGCAATCTCACTGAATCCCTTCCCAAATCGACTGTAATAAGTGGCTAGCTGCAGAAATAACCGGATCTCCATCAGGTTCCTCGGCTGCAGCCATTACACTATGGCACGTACCTTTTCCGGGTTGGTACGCACCCCTGCCTCACTGACATGGTGTCCGGGGTATGCCACCTTGCGCTGCGCAGTATAACACTTATACGGTTTGAGCTTGAGATGAGCTGCTCGCAGTCGTTGGAACACCTCCCGCAACCTGGACCAGTGTTCAGACAGTGACCTACTGAATACTATCATGTCATCCAGATAAATCACGCACTGTTCTCTCTGCAAGCTCGGCATCACCAACTCCATCAACCGCTGGAACGTCGTAGGTGCGTTAGTGAGTCCGAACAGAAGTACTCGGAACTCAAACGTGGTCTTTGACCGATCCTCCTCCGCCATCTCCACCTGCCAGTACCTGGATGCCAGATCTCAGGTGGGGAAATAACGTGCCCCCGCGAGGCTTTCAAAGGTGTCATTGATGCGAGAGTAACTGCATTCAGCTTCCGAAAATCAACACAGAATCGTGTCGACCCATTCTTTTTTATCACCAGCACAACCGGGGCAGACCAGGGCTCGATGAGGGCTGGATTATGTTATCGCGGAGCATATCCGTGACCGCCTCATTGATCTGGGGCCGTTCGGGTGCGCTCCCTTGGTATGCAGGGAGTTTAATGGGTCGGGCTGCACCTTTGTCAATTTAGTGCTTGACGAGGTCCGTCCAGCCAACATCCGAATCGTGCTCACTAAACACGTTGGCGTACTCATGTCGTAACCCTCACAGCTGATTGGCCTCCACCTCGGCTAAATCTGCCCAGGGTACCCATAGCGCGTCATGCAGGGGCACACCAGGATAACGGCCGCGGGCTTGAAATGGAGGCGATCTGGCTCCTGTCCCAAGAACGGAATCCGCTCCCCGCTGCCCTCCATGGTGGCACATTGCTGGCAGGGCCGCACGTTGAGCCGCAACTTTTCCAGGAGGTCGGTCCCTGCAATACACTCGTGGCATAATATGCTCGACAAATATAACTTCTGGTTACGCACCTGCAGACCTCACGGGTGACCCTCCCCAGCAGGCCCATCCCAGCTCCACTCGCATTGTGCAGCACGCGGTCCGTGGCCTGTTAGTGGCCCACGTCAACCCCGACCAAGCTGCAG